TATATGATAGTCAAATTAAAAAAATTGTCTTATACACAATTGAATTTTATACGTAAGTTTTTTAGACTTCTGATTTCAAATTTGATTATAATTTAAGTTAATGTTTGTTTGTTAATTTAAATTAAGTTTATGTTTGTGAATATATTAGATCTAATGTCGATAAAATTTATATTTTTTTTTTAATGAAAAAACTTTATATTTTATAAAATTAACAACAAAAATATGGTGTGTTTCTAATTCTATCTTTCTTAATTTTTAAGATTAAAAAATTTGTTTGTTTTTAATATTTTTATTTATTGATTTTTTAATTTTATTTTTCTAATATTAATACAAGTAATAATCAAGTAATGGCTTCTAGAGTAAATCAAATGTAGAAAAGTAAATCAAATATAGAAAAAATCCAATATAGAAAAAAGCATGCAAGCCAATATTATAGTTCTTATTGCGAATATCTTAATGTTATTTATTCATAACAAAATGTAATAAAATCTAGACATTTCGATTTATTAGATCATCTTCAATAGTAGTTTGAATACAATGTTTATGTAAATTCATCGTTCATCGTAGATTTCCCTTATCGTTCTCTCCTATCATTATAAATAATTGTCTTAAAACTTACAAAAGTCAACAATAAGTTACAATTGATAGATTGAAAATTATTTTTTACAATATACCCACACAATAAACATAACTATATTAATTCATAATGACCGTATCAATTTTAATGACTTTTTGAAAAAATTTTAGAGAATCTTAAACAATTTTATTCAAATTTATAATGACTGTATTACTTTAATGACTTTCTTATTAAATTTGTTTAACTTGATGACAAATTTGATGACTTCTCACAAAAGGTTCTTAATTTGATATGTTGTAATTTGTCAAAAATGACGACTTCTATGCAAATATTGACCACGGTTGTTGCAAGAAAATGAAAATAGAAATATATAACACCAGCCTTTTCAAAATTGAGCAATTGATAAAAGAAATGGAATGGCAAATTGTGAATGAAATATATACGAAGCAAAGCGGCGAGTAATAAACAAGCGAAATTTTTAGTGATTACATTCTCAATTTATATTTTTAATTATATTTTATATTATTTATATTCTCTAACTATTTTAATTCTAAGTTTTTTATAAGTCTCTTAAAACAATTATAATGATAGAAGAATGATAAGGGAAATTTAATGACGAATTTACATAAACATTGTATTCAAATACAGAAATACTATTAAAGATGATCTAATAATGATCGAAACGTCTAGACTTTATTACATTTTGTTATGAATAAATAACAAGATATTCACAATAAGAACCAGCGTTGATTTACATGCTTTTTTCTAATAATATATTGAATTATTTTATTTTTATTAATTTTTTGGTAAAAGTTGACAAAAAGGAATCCAGCCCTAACCTTGATCTTGACATATGTTATCAAGGTTATGATCCTGAATGACCTCCAAGTTTTAGCTGTTGGCAGGAAAATAATTACTAACTTTGACTTAATAACTTTTTAACGAATAACGAGTGACACGCCGGCTAAAACTTATTGGAGGTCACTCATGATTATAATAACATATGTATGTCAATTTTTTTAAATAAAAACAAGCCACAAATATATGAATTATGAGTTTTTACTTCTTCAATTATCTAAACAGATTATGTTTTTATTAGTATTAATAAAGTGCAATAGTTATTTTTTTCCTGTGAAATAAGGAAATGTCTTTTCAGGAAATCCATGTTAATTTCTTCTAAGATTTTCTTATAAAATTTTATTAAAATCAATATTTTTTTATATATTATGAGATTCTATTATTAGTTATCATTTTGGTCGCTATATTGGATCGGTTGTTTTAAATTATAAAATTTTAAATACAAATTTGAAATCAGAGCTCTTTTAAAAATATTAAGGCATTTAAAAATCTAAAGGCTTTTCAGAACATATTTATCTACATGAATTTTTTTCTTTTTAGCATAAATTTTTTGTATAAAAAGTGCTAATTTTGACTGGCATGTTATTTATTATTAATACAAAATAATTACATATCTATATTATTCATACATACATATAAGAACATGAAGATATTAATATATAATAAATTAATTGTGTTAAAACATAGAAAAATTATAAAAAGATAGCTATTATATGAGACACTATACAGTAAGAAAAAAATTAAATTAATTACACATATACTAATTTATTATTTTATTTTTAGACGACACTAATATACAAACAATATCTGATTTATTAAAGACTCCATTACATCATTATTTTGGATATCAGATATTCGATTTGAATACGGAACCAGATAAGCTCGAAAAGGTCGCTTCTAATTTGCAAGTGAACTTAATATACAGTATCCTTGTAAACGCATATCCGAATATTTCTTGTTATGATAAAAAAAAGTGCAGTAGTATCAAAGATTCGGAATACATTATACTGAATAAAAATCAAGAAGAATTGGTAGGAAACTAATCGTGCTAACTAATAAATAATATATACAATGTTTCATAAAGACCGTAACAACGCTTAAATTCCTAAAATTATTTTATTAAGACAAAAATTTTAATATGAAAATATCGAAGTTATAATATAAGTTTTCAATTATAAGTATTTGAAGTTAGCGAATCATATCGCTTAAAATTTTCGCATTTGAGTGTGATACAACACAAAGTGCTAAAAGCAAAAGCTACTTGTTGTTTTTTGTTAATATTGATATAAAAATTATGTATGTGAAGATAAAATTATTGATATTTATGAACAAATTATTATAACCTTGATATTTGAATATTAGAGTCTTCATTTCAAAATATAATGTCAGGAATCTCTCCTTAAGCGTTGTTACGGTCTTTACAATCTCTGTATACATAATAATAAACAATATGTAATATAGTGTAATATAAAATATCTTTACAGGATGTAAAAAATGTAATAAAAAGACCAAATCAATATATTTCGGAAATATTGGCAGAACTTCTACAGATTTTATGCAACATAAGTTCAGGACGATCTCATTTGGATAATTCGTATTTGAGAAGTATTTCTGATCATACAGATATACGAATGATTCTAAACAAAACATCAAATCTTATCAATCTCGATCTCGGCGAATTATCTGTAGGAGACGAAACATTGACATTTTTTTTGAATGTTTGGAACGTTATGTTTCTTCATGCGAGTTTAGATGTATGGTCCAAAGATCCGCCTCTCGAAAGTTTGAGACATACGATTTCATTGACATCGATCGGTTATATAATTGGTGATTTGGGCTTAGTGACACTCGCTGCTCTTCGATCAAAATTATTGGGTAAGCTCGCGAACGATATTAAATTCTTCACGCGAGTGGAAGAGCTCAACGAATTGGCATGGCAGGATTTAGATCTTGTGCAAAATCCAAGGATTATCTTCGCCATGGCTAATGAGTTTTACGGCACGCCTGAGATTCGTGTAAGCTGACGCATCGATTAATTAATTACACTATTCAATAAAAATTTAATTTTTGACATAAAAATGAGGATTTACATAGTTTTTGAGTATTGAATCACGTTTGAATGTGATCCGAATTACTCTATCACGTCAATTTTGAGAAATTTGCGATTACAGTTATGGAAGAGAAATATTTTGGCATATTATATCTATATTATGTAACGTGTTGGAGAAATTTTATTATAATTAGAATTAATATTGTTTTATTAGAATTAATATCAGGATTTTCAGTCCTTTAAAAGGAATTTATCATGCCGATTATGATTAAAAAAATATTTATTAATAACTTTATTGCAATAAAGTTGCGACTTATATAGACTTTTAAGAATCTCTCTCTGTATGATTTAATTCCGTTATTCAAACTTAAAAATTATATAGTTGCTGAATACTAATTTGTTTAATATATGATTCATCTATATCAGTTTGATAATTTAATGTAAATTTGAAAAAAATTTAATTATTCCAAAAATTCAAACATTCTTAAATTTTGATATCTGCCATATTGATTAAATTTTGAATTTTATTGATTATCAAATTAGTATTCAACGACCTGAAAAATCCTGAAGTGTGAATAATATAGTTATTAAAAAATATTTTTTACATCTTTCATGTTTTGAACAATTTGAACCTTATTCTAATAATCGCTAATAAAAAAAATGAATGCAGTACACGAAACACCAGTAATATCATGTGATACTTATTTTTCTTTATTTTTAATGTATATTTATCAAAAGTCTAATACTTTGAACATATGTCCATAAAGTTTTAAGTGTACATTTGAGTAGCACGCACGAATGTTCGCTCGTCCATTTGCTTTGTTTAGCAAATTATCACATATTATTATTATAGTTATAATAGTCTATAAGTTTATAGACTAGTACATAATTAGTAATAAACTATTTTCACTTTACTTTTTTAAAAGTTATTTTAAAAATGTGTTACGATTTTTCTCTTAGTCACTGGTACAATAGATCCCGGAGATAGGGATATAAATGATAAAATTTTCTACAAAAAAGTATGTTTGACTATTTAAAAGATTTGTTCTTTAAACTTTTTTGATATTAAATAATAATCTATCTTCTAAATATATTTCATATCAAAATGTAGCAATATTTCAAAGAATATATCTTTAAACAGCACCGTCTTAAATTCACACAAGAAATTTGTATTTAAGCATGAAGATTTGATTGTGAAATATTTTGATCGTCTAATAATCTTAAATTTTAACTAAATTTTGGTTATTATATATAAAGGATACAGAATTTATATAAAAATTGGAAAAGTTCTTCCTCAAAATTGTAACGTGATAGAATCACTTTAGTATACGGAATCGTATCCAGCATCTAAACAATTATCACCTATGCTCATTTTTTTGTTAAACAATTATTTGTCGTAGTAAAGGATGGATATGATCAATGTATTCAAAATTATAGGTGTATGAAGCACAGACATTAAACGATGCGTTAAATGAAGCGACTAATGATTATATCGCGTATTATTCATTGGTGTCATCTGATGAGTCTGTAAATGGGCCAAAACAAAAAATCAGCTTATTCAATCTTGTGAGGCAATATCAAAACATATTTTCACGAGATACTGATGGTGAGACAAACGCTAACAGGAGTTTGCCTTCAATAGCCGATTTCGAAAAATTAAACGAAGATATAAATCTGGAATACATGACGTCTAATTATACATACGAAGTGATACTAAAATATTCCAAATATAATATATCTAATGTCACAATCACAAATTTTATACAGACATCACTTTGGCAGACTCGTATATTAAGAACTAGTTTATTGCAATATCTGAAAAGACATTGTTGGCTCGTCTCTTATCTTGTACAGAGAATGCATAACGAAAATCCGACTATTTTAGAGAATAATTATGATAATGTAAAACGTATAGTGTGTTTTGAGAATCTTGTGAATTCTCCGTGGATGAACAAGCTAAAATTCTTATTTAACAATAATCAAATTCTCGCCGCTATTCATGATAGCATACCTGAGCACGAGTTATGGCATTATTTTGAACTTAGGAAAGATAAAAATTGGCAGGATTCTTTGGACATGTTAAACGCTCTAGCTGACATCATTATAAAATACAATGCAGAATTACAGCGCTTCAAGGATTTGATTTTAAGTCACATGCTCTCCAATTTAGGTATACTATCTGTCACAAGTATGCTGCAATATTTGTATCAAATCAAAGATATATATATATTGACGCAAACGATATTACACAATGTTAACAAGTGGCCTATGATTTTATGTGAGCACGCATTATGTCACGCATTGCAGCACGAGCACAATCATAAATTGCCAATGTATTGCAAACATCGGATGAATGATATCTTGTGCAGAATAACGATCTTCCATAAAATGATTCCGTACTGTATGAATAAGTCAAACATTACGTGGTACGATATTGTATATTGTACGAAAAAGATCGATCCATTTAAAATTATTAAGTGTCTGATCGACGCAGATCAGTTCGAGTTATGTTTGGAATGGCTGGAATGTCAAGCGTTTTCTCTGGAGATGCAAACCCCTGTGAGCCAAGACTTTTTAATAGGTCTTTTAAAAAACGACCAGCAAGATTTCAAGCAAGCTTTAAAGGTAAACAAGAATTTATTTATAAAGATCATAATCATATGATATCAGCTTCGAAAATACTTATCATTGATTCGATAATATTTTAGTTTCTTCAAGCGTTACCGTTGAGTCAGCCAATGAAAATATGTAAAGGGGTGCTTAAAAAATTAGAATCTATCAGCGCATTACAATTTATCACTAATTATTTGTTAGACTATTGCAAAATAGCAGAGCGACCGAAGTATCGGAAAACTTTGATAGGATTACAAATTCTAAAGCTGTTGGAAGATAAAGACAGATCGCTATATATCCATTTGATAAAAGAGCCATTATTGATGTTGGAACAATTATTAATGAATTGTAAATTTGAAAATATTCAAAACATTTTGAATTCGCTGCAAGAGAATTTACAACATCCCGATATAGGTATCAACAATTTTTATGAAGTTATAAAATTTTACGCCAAAAAGTCGTTAGATTTTCGTGTATCATTTCGGCGTGACGGTACAAAACATAAAACCAAAAATATGTCACAATCTAATCTTGAGGCAGAAAATAATCAATTTGTTATGCCTGTCAATGTACCTACTAAGGAGGAATGGGTCCCGAATGATAGGGTAACTTGAAAACATTCAAAACTATGCTTTAATCAATATATATATTGTATTACACACACACACACGCGCGCGCGCGTATACAGGATGTTCCAAAAATGACAATAAATCTTTCGCACAGGGGTAGAATGGATTAAACTGAGAAAGAAAGACCTCTTTGCAATAGTTTTTTTGCTCAAAATTGCCGAAAATTGGTTTTTAATAATTTTTTACTCAAATACTATCAACTTTACATAAAAATTGCAAGAGATAAAAATTGTTTATTTTCTTCTCCTAGAGCTCTAAGAATTTTTTAAGAATTTTTTCAGAAATTTTTAATACCGTGTTTTCTCGTATTGGTATAAAAATAAGAAAATACAGTATTAAAAAGAAAATACAGTATTTATAAGAAATTCTGAAAAAATTCATACAGCTCTACGAAAAGAAAATTGACATTTTGTCTTTTGTAGTTTTTCTGTAAAGTTGATAGTATTTGAGTAAAAAATTATTGAAGACCAATTTTTGACAATCTTTAATAATTAATATTTGTAAACTATTGAAAATTATAAAATGGTAGAGAACTTTTCTTCTCGGTTTAATCTTCTGCCTCTGGGCGAGAAAGATTTATCGTTATTTTTGGAACATCCTGTATATATGTATACCAGGTATTCAAAATAAAGTGTTACAAATTTTTATCTCGGAAATACGGCATTATTGAGAAAAATTATTCAGAAAAAAGTTGTAGGATTCAAAAAAATCTATTTACTGATCTTATCAGTTTGATTTTGGGTGGCATCGCCAAAATTAAGTTAAAATCGTCGATTTTTTTTAATGGAATACTCTACTTTTAATTTCAGAATCTAATAGTCGATGTCAAGAGTTTTCCAAAACACTATAATAAAGTTATTTTTTTTTATTAAGTACTTTTTGAGTTATGCTTGAAAGTTACAGTACCACTGGCATTAGGATCATCCAGAGAGAATCAAGGAAGAATGGAGCGGACTCATTCGGAAGCTGCCATGTTTAGCGTGCCGTTGGCACGGGAGTAGGTAGATAGTAGAAACGTGATGGAACTA